TGGCAGTGGAAACAGAGTCTAGCTATCATAGCTAGTTGTCCCTCATGTCTCCAAAGCCTGACTAGCCTCAGATAGAAGCTGGACGTTTTGGGTCGCCAGTCCCCATGCTATTGAATTCTATTCAGTGCTAGGCCTACCCAGGGTTAGACCCCCCTAATGCTAATGAACACGATTACCTTAGGTTCAGTCATTTTTAATGCATCAGCTGGCTTGCTCAGTTGGTTGGAGCGTGGTGCTGATAACGCCAAGGTTGCAGGTTCGATTCCCATAAGGGACAGCTGCATATTTCTGCAATGCAGGGAGTTGGACTAGAACGATCCTCAGGGTCCCTTCCAACTCTATGATTCCACGATTCTATTCTAATGGGTGCACATTGATCACAGCTAGCAATGGATACAACTCACGGACTCAGAATGAACAAAACAGTTGCTCAGGCAGGAACCAGCGTAACGAGTCCTGCTAGTGCAATGGAGCTTCCCTCTCTTCATCCTGTGTGTCCTGTGCACCCCTCAACTCAACTCAGGAGGGTCAGGAGAACCCCCAGAATAGCATGCAGGAAGGGGAGAAGGGAAGTAGTTCCATATGGCAAGCTGAAATATTAGAGTTCATAGGTGCCAACTCCCTGGGTGCCCAAGCAGCCACAAAATTCTCCATGAAGGGGCCATGCACAAACAAATTTTGTTGCTGGGGCTATGCATGCTGCATGGCACCCATGGTCCTTGGCAACCACAATCGTGGTGCCAGGTTGGCACTCCTGTTAGAGTTGATGAAATGATCATAACAGCATGGTGTTGAATTCCTCCCTATGGAATAGTCTTCCAGCAGAGATTTGGCTGGCACCCTCATGGCTAGTCTTCTTTCCTTGAGAACTTTATATATATATATGCTTTTTGTACATTAAATTCTGTTGTGCACCACCCTGGTATTTTATGTGATGGGGGGGTGTCTATCAACATTTAGATCTATAAATAAATAAACCAACTCTTTCATACAAACCGACAGCTGCTTTGTTTTGTCTGGATCAAGTCTTACTTCATTTGCCCATGTTTGCAAAGCCATTTGCAACAGGGAACAGTGGAAAGTTGGCAGACTTGAAGACTGTGTTTGCAAAAGGCTACGATTATTTAAGGATTTAAGGATTAGAGTCCTACTTTCAAGGAGAAATGATAGCAATATTTTTATTAATAATGCCCTGTGCTCCTAAATCACCCGAATATGTCAGGACATTTTGCCAGGCAGGCACTTCTGGTCAGTCTCAGGAGCAACAAATGCTTGGGTAGCACCAGATTTGGAGAGAAAGAGAAGCTTTTCTTATCTAAAACGAAGAGGAGAAAAAATGAGTGCCCTGTGAAAGATGTTGTATTGGATGAAGTTCTGCTACAATCAGGGTCTATCAGTAAACACAGAGCTGGCTTGATATTTTCAAAGGAAAGTGTACACATAAATTGATTTTTTTAAAAACAAACAAAACAGGTAAAACCAGGAGCTCGTCTCTGGTGAGATGCATTGCTATGATGTTTCAAACTACTGTATTTCTAGTCTGCTCACTACACATCCAGTGACTTTTCCTATATGCAGTTAAATAGGACTGTCTTTGTATTAGGTAGATATGCCAATGGTAGCGGGCGGAGGACACTTTTGCTTAAAAAAAGGGGAATGCATGTTTGATAACACCTCTATAGAGATAATAGGTGAAATCCATGCTCCAGAAATGACCTCATTTGACTACTGCAGTGCATTGTTCATTGAGTTGCTCTTGGAGACCAGTCCAAAATGTCAGTTGGTTTATAACAGGGGTCACCAAACTTTTTCAGCAGGGGGTCAGTCCACTGTCCCTCAGACCTTGTGGGGGGGGCAGGACTATATCTTTGTGGGGGAAATTCCTATGCCCCACAAATAACCCAGAGATGCATTTTAAATAAAAGCACACATTCTACTCATGTAAAAACATGCTGATTCCCGGACTGTCTGTGGGCTGGATTTAGAAGGTGATTGGGCCAGATCTGGCGCCCGGGCCTTAGTTTGCCTACCCATGGTTTATAACATGGGAGTTAGATGGAAGGCTGCTCAAAACATCTCTCTCTAGTATTTAAGCGGGGGAAAACACCCTTCATTCACTTCCATTCTGTAGCATCAAATATAACATAAGACACATTTATCTTGGGATTAATATATCTAAAGGGTCACCCGCTCTGATGTGAGCCTGCCCATTAATTTGGACCTACACCAGAGACTCTTAATTTACCCCTGCCTTTGAAAGAAAGGTGAGTTTTGGCCAGTGGTAGGGCCATTTCAGTAGTGTCACCCGAAGCTGTATAATAATCTCTCAAGAACAGGCGCTTGGCAACTACAATGTTGGCTTTCTTCTCCCTAGCTTTTAGTAGATGATGGCTTTAATTTCTGTCTTAATGTTGTATTCCTGCATTTTTAAAGATACTGTTGTTATATGCTATTCTTTGCTGTTAGTTGCCTGAAAGGTTTTCCTGAAAAAGGAGATAAAAATATGAAAGTAATGATAGTTATTTTGGTTGTTGTTTTAATACACACATTCTTAAAATAAAGTGTGTGTGTGTGTGTGTGTGTGTGTGTGTTTGAATCTTGCTGACTCTCTCTGTCCACTCTGCAGCATGCAACTGAACTTTGAAATGGCACCTTGATTCCTATTTTCTCTCAAGGGGATTTGTGAAACCAAGTTTGCACAGGGTTGCAGCCAAAACCAATTATTTACTTTGCCGTCTAACTCCAACAGCTGTTTTCACACATTATATACTTGCATGTGCACAGCAGTCACACAGGAAAATGTTTTATGTGATTTAGGAATAGATGTGTGTGGATGGAAAATTCCGACAAATTCTTGAAGCAGTCCTGACGTTTCATGAAGTGAAAATAATGTTCCTGCTATGTAGAAACATAATCCTGTTTTCATATCTGCCCTATGTTAACATTATACTCCGCAATGCAAAAAAAAAAAAAAAAAAGGGTTAGGTTTATTGTTCCGGAGGGATAATCTGAGAGTTTATTTCTGCTTGCAAATCATTTGGCAAGGGACTAGTCCACCTTGTACCCTTTTGGAAAGCATATAATCCATTTTGGCACATCATCTACCTAGTCTGGCATCAGTAGGAAATCTACACTGACATCCACTTTGCTTAATCCCCCCTTGCCCCCAGGCTGCCTGGCATATCCATCAATTTGCATTTCAGAGGTTTTGCATCTAGAGAATGATCACAGCCATATGGAACTGTGCCTCAACGCCCAGAAAGATTCCCCTTTGCTCTTAGCCACTGTAAGGTGAAATCCAGGATTTGACCTCCCAAAAAACTGGGGAGATGAGTGCTGTTGGAGGACAGATATTACTCTTTGTTGGCAAAAGGGGGTGATACATGGTCAACCAAACATCTGGAAATACTGGAAGTCACCCCAGGAATGAGTCACAATATTGGGTTGACTGTCAAGGATATCTGCATAATTTCATCAGCCATTGGTAGAATTATATATCCAGTCTACCAGTATCTTCATTTTCTGTAAGATGACCATGCCTGCCCCCATTCCCTGAAAAACGAGCCCACAAAAGTTAATATCCCTGCTCCTCCAGAAACAGTAGTCCCCGCTGAGATTTTGTTCTGAGCAGTATTGATAGATACATAGATAGAGGTCTGAGTAAGGGAAGCCATGGTAACAGGTAGTCAACAGCACCCACCAAGTAAACCACTATTCAAAGAAGCAGCTATCTCTCTAAAGCTGGATGCTGTCCATGTGTCCTTGGGAACCTACGTTTTAAGGGTAGAGAAAGGGGAAAGCTTTGCACTTAGAGAAAAATAGGAGTAGCCCAGAGTGATTTGTGCTTTATCCTCACAAAAACTGGCAGGGCCCAGGAGCTGTGTGCGCACAGAAAACAGGTACAAGCCTCCAGTCATCCATGGCTGGAAGTCTGATGTGCTGAATGAAAGCAGGTAGTTTATGGCACGCTTCTCTACAGCACAGAGGGACATAAGAAGGCGGCTTAGACTGGGTCAGACCAATGTTCCATCTAACTCAATATTGTCTACACTGGCCAGCAGTGGCTCTCCAGGGTTTCAGGCAAGACTAGAGTCTTTTGCAGCAGCACCTGGAGACGCTGGGGACTGAACCCGGGACCTTCTGCTACACCCTTCCTGGAGCATAAGGGGGGAGGGAATTGGGAAGTTACATGGTCTGTGGTGCATATCCTCTGAGCCCCGGTTCCCCTCCATGCCCACTCTGAATCCAATCCACACCTTAGGACCCCTTCTATGGCAGTGGTTGACCCCTCCCAATGTATTCATGGGTGATTAATTTTCAATGTAAATTTAATACGTTCTCGGGCATACATACAGGTACATTTGATATTCTTGGAAGTGCCATCTGCAACGCAGTGTATTCCAAAGTTTTTGAACCTAAGCAGATCCCCCCCTTACTTGAAAATGAGGCTAACTTTATGTCATTTCATGGGATTTTGTACCAAAAACTATGCTGCAATTGTCTTAGTTCCAAGCAACAGGGCAGACATCAGTTACGAAAGGAAGAAAAAGTGTCATTTTTCTACGCAGTGGTTCCACAGTGGAAAGAAAACATTAGTTATATAAAACTGACTTGATAACCAGAGTAGTTCTTAACTCTGCCCACCTTTTGTCGTTACATATATATAGTTGCATTTGACTCTCTGCTGTTTGAGATGCTTTAGCCTGGGAAAATTACTTCCCGGCTCTAAAAGGCATAAGCAGACGAGTTAATCTTTCTAAGAGCAATCTTTAACAACTTGAAATTGTGCCCCAATGGGAGGGGGGCAGGTGAAAGTCTCCCTTAGACCCCCTTTCCCCTCTAATTCCTCCTGACGATCTGCAGAATAAAACTAAACGTCTTCTCCGCGGCATCCTGCCAAAACCTTCACCGCGCCATCCCTTTTCCTAACGGGGTTAGATGAGCGTACAAAAGTATGAGCCACGGAGGAAGAGAGGTGAAGCCGAGGTGTGGTACTTTACCTACTAGGAAATCGGAGATGGCCAGGTTCAGAAGGAAGTAATTGTTTTGCGTCCTCAAACTGGAGTCCACCACAAAAGCCAGCATCACCAAAGCATTGCCAACGACCGTAGCCACGATCAACAAAGCCATGAGGACGGCCAGGACGATGGTCCACATGGTGGAGAAGCGCCCGGAGAGCTGGTCCCCAGCGGCCTTCTCCTGGCTCCCGGAGCCATTCAGGGGCAAAGCCACCGAGGAGCTGTCCATTTCAGCACCACGCGGCTCAGCGGCTCAGGCTGCGGGTGGGAACTGTCCGAGCCACCTCCAGCCGGGAGCGGGACGACACACCTGCTGCCGGGGCTTGGCTCCTGCCGGGCAGACTCAACGACAACTGCCCCTGCATTGTAGACCCACACCCAGCACCCCACAAGTCTCAGCAGCACCCCGAAAGATGACTCGACCCCATCCCACCAGCGGTTCGTTTCCTAAAGAGCTCTCGTGGAGATGATAAAACACAGAGATTCTGTTCCTTCGGTCTTGTGGTCTCCAGTTCTTTCCCCCGGTGGGGAGGCGGGTCCCTTCTCTTTTCCTCTCTGCCTCTGCTTTCTTCTCGCTGCGTTTTTATTTCCCTGAGAGGCAGAACCACGAAGGGAGAGTAAGTGAGAAGAACTCTGCTGGATTTGGGGCTGCAGGTTCTCGCGCAGCGTGCGAAGGGTCTGGCTAGCCTCTGGGCGAAAGCGGAGCTTTGCCTCCGAAAGGTGGAGCCAAGCATCTAACCCTGGAGCTGGATGTGAGTCCGAGCAGGACCAGCTCCTCTGTGGACAGTTCTATGCTGGACAGCCATTGGCTAGCAGCCTCAAAAAACCTGCAAGCCGCTCGTCTCACTTGCCGCTTGCTTTCTTGTTTCTGCCTTTAAGACGCCGCTTTGTAAAATCCACACACGGGTCGAAATACAATTAGCCCAGCCAACGAGGCAGCGCTGTTGACTTTGGGACAATTAGCGAAGACTACATGAATAATCAATATGTCTACGTTTGCAAGATTTCCTAGGCAAATCTCTCTCTCTCACTCACACACACACACACACTGTGTGTGTGGTAGAGAGAGAAAGATTTCTGTCGAAGTAAAGTAAAATAACGAGTGCTACAGGTATGCGTTACGATCGCCAGCTAGTTTTTATTTATTTATATGGCATGTAATCTGCCCAATTCATTACAAACGTCATTGCATGCGACTTTACAGCATCTTTGTCAGGTGCTTGTTGTTTTGTTCCCATTTTACAGGTGGAGGACTGAGAATGAGAATAAATGCCTTGCCTCTAATCCGGAAACGCACAGCAGATCTGGGATCTGAACCGCTGTCTTTCAGACTTAAGTCTGATTCACCGGAGCACACTTGCCATCAAGATCCATGGAGATTCCTACTTCAGAGAAATGGTATCCAAAGTAGCTCAAGTGACGTTTTATTGGTGCAACTGTGTGTGGATCAGAGAGCACACTTCGGAGCTACTCAGGTCTCTGGTGCAGCAAGGGAAGTAGGGTTCCGTTTGTTTATGGTGCTTATTGTTAACTATGTTTGGCACGGAAGAACAGGTTACCAACAACAGGCAAGAGATAAGACCAAGACAGGCTGGCACTGATTTCAGAGCACCAGGTGAGGATCATCACAGAGGTACCTGAGAACTAAAGCAACAAAGGGTGTTCACAGGAAAGTGCAGCTTATGGTTGCAATGGCTCTGATGATTTCCTCTCGCTTTTGCAATAGCTGAGAGCCAAGGCAATAAACCACAGTGAGTCATTAGTCCAGGTCAGATACCAAGAGGCACAGCAACAGAATGATTGAGCCAACAATGCCTGATACCAACTGATGCAATCTTGTGAGCTCCAGTGGCCCTTTAAACTTTAAGGAATGAAGCTCTTTGGGATTCAATCGGGGCTCTTTTGTGCTAAGTGACTGATGGGCATGGCTTGCCTTGCTCTATGTACCTAGGAGCCTGCTTCTGGGTCCTATAACCCCGTCTTAGACTCTCTCCAACTCCATAGCTCAGTGGGTAGAGCATGAGACTCTTAATCTAGTCTATCTAGTCCAACCCCCTGCATAGACTGGAAAGAGAAGCTGCTGAATTGCAACTCATTACCAAACTTAAAACCATGGAGAGACCTGGTCTGAACAAAGACATTGGATTCTTATCTCATTATACATGACAAAGCCATTTTTCACCTTCTCACCCCTTGCTTTTTCCTGTAAGACCTATTGCAGTCGTTAAGAGTCGTCAACAGGCTCTTCACAGCTATCTGCCAATCACCCATTCCCACCACCCTTCTGAGTAATACCCCTCCCCACCTTCTCACTATATAGAAGGATCTGGCAACTTCTGTTTCAGTGTATCTGAAGAAGTGTGCATGCACACGAAAGCTCATACCAAGAACTAACTTAGTTGGTCTTTAAGGTGCTACTGGAAGGAAGAATTTTTAGCTTTAGCTTTTCCTCCATCATTTGGAGGAAAACCTTCATCTACTTTGCTCAGGGCACTTGAAAGGCATACATCAGTGACGCTAGGCACATGACTTGCGTCCTGCCCCCCCCACACACCTCAGGTACATATAAATGGTACATAGAATTTAAGAGAATTCGCTATTCAAAAGTTTCAGATCCAACCATAGTTAGGAGTGACAGTCATGGGTTTTCAGCTTGGTTTCCTCTCCCCGCCCCTCCCAAAAAAGTTAATAGTGTTGACAGTGATGGATTGTTCAGCTTTGTTGAATTTCTCACCCCCAAAAAACATTACTTAAAGTGACAGAGATGGATTCCTTGTTTCTCTATCCCACCCCAACCCCCACTTCAAAAACTGAACGCTCTTTTTCCCAACAGGGAAAGTCTGGACACACATAGGAACACGGAAAGCGGTATTCTACTGGGTTGTAGATTAACAGAGTCATAGAATTGTAGATAGCTGGAAGGGACCATGAGGGTCATCTAGTCCAACTGCCTGCAATGGAGGAAACTTTTGCCCAGTGTGGGGCTCGAACCCATGACTCTGAGATTAAGAGTCTCCTGCTCTACCGACTGAGGACTCAGCTATGCAGCTGCAAATGAAATGTTTTGTGTTGCAAAGTGCAATACACAAAGGTGACACTAGATGGCGATGGTAAGCTATGGGAAATTCAATATATTTTTCAATATATATATATTTTTAAGAAAGTATTTTCACAGCGGTTTTTTTTATATGTGTGTTGACTCCACCTGAGCTATAGCAATGGATCAGGCCATCAATCCATCTAGCTCACTGTTGTCTACACAGACTGTCAGTGGCTCTGTGGGGTTTCAGACAGAGTTATTCCCAGCACGCGCCTGAACTCCTTGTATAAGTTAAGAGTCGCTCACCTTTTTGTGGAGTTCACGAGAGCAGTTGCTCCTCAGCAGCTGAGTGCATGCTGTACATACAAAAGGTTAACTCCCTGGCATCACCTTTGAAGAGAATCTCAGGGAGCAGGTGATGGTTAAGACCCCTGCCTGAGACCTTGGACTGCTGACGCCAGCATTGGGTTAGTTGACACAATGGCTTGATTCAGTATAAGGCAACTTTGTGTATTGCAGGCAGACTATAATATGCTCTATGTGGGGCTGCCTTTTCCCCCTGATCTGGAAGCTCTAGTGCAGAATTCAGTAGCCAGCCTGCTGACGGGGGCAGATGGCTGACAGCTCTACTAAAACAAAGATCCTGGTTGCCCATATGCTTAGAGGCCTGGTTAAAAGTTCTTGTATTAATGCAGAAACTTCAGTCCAGGATACCTTAAGGATTGCAGGAACCCCTGCACTTGCGATTCCCAGAAACTGAAATTCAGAGGCTCATCACCTCAGACAGTGGAAACAGAACATAAACATTGGGGCTAGCAGCCACCTTTTTAAATTCTTTAATATGGATTTTTATTAAATTTTCTGTTTCACCATTTCAGAGAAACATTTGACATACTTAAGATATCAATGACTTCCTTCTTCTCTTTCCATGGTTTATTTTACATAGCATATATCCCTGCATATTTTACAAAAACTATACCTATCAGTTTTCCATTATTACACCCATCAAAACTTATTCACACTGTTGAACTTATCTTTATGTTGCCAGCATTTTCAATTGTACCCAATTATTTTCCATATATTCAATAAACGTTTTCCAATCTTCTTTAAACGTATGTTCTTCTTGTTCCCTTATTCTATATGTTAAGTCTGCAAGTTGTAGCAGCCACATTCTAATTACTGTGCTGTTTTACTTAACATTTTAATTATGAATATTCATATTTTATCATTTTAATTGGATTGTTTTGTTGCGTAGTTTAATTGTGTATTTTAATTATGTTTCTTTTTTAATGCTTGTGTAATTGGTTCTTATGGGACGCGGGTCGCGCTGTGGGTAAAACCTCAGCGCCTAGGACTTGCCGATCGCATGGTCGGCGGTTCGAATCCCTGCGGCGGGGTGCGCTCCCGTCGTTCAGTCCCAGCACCTGCCAACCTAGCAGTTCGAAAGCACCCCCGGGTGCAAGTAGATAAATAGGGACCGCTTACCAGCGGGAAGGTAAACGGCGTTCCGTGTGCTGCGCTGGCTCGCTGGATGCAGCTTGTCACGCTGGCCACGTGACCCGGAAGTGTCTGCAGACAGCGCTGGCTCCCGGCCTATAGAGTGAGATGAGTGCACAACCCTAGAGTCTGGCAAGACTGGCAAGACTGGCCCTCTAACTTCATTAGATTAATTAGAAATTAATAACTAATAATAATTCTACTCTCTTTTAAAACTATCAATTTTGAATTGTTTAGCTTCTGTACCCCTCTGTTCTTCAGTTCCTTTCAAGTTGCTTTTTTAAATGAATGTTCTTTTGCATTTCTTAAATAGTTTGGGAATCCTTCAGGGACAGGAAACTGTGATATTTGAAAAAGGTAAATAAAGCTCTGAAACCTGCTCTGAGCCCATAGCATAAGGCAGCCCATCAGCCCAAATAAATATCTGAAGAAGCAGTAACTCGAGTCTGCACTAGCAGTGGGAAAGCTCAAAACATCTGCAGTCATGTTACTGTTTGAACGGTGGGTGTCACTGTCTCCTTTCCACTATAGCAGTTCAGGGAGATAAGGCATTTAAAATGCCTGGGGGAGAGTAGACTTATGTAAATGTGCAGGAGACAACAAACCTTGTAAGAAGTCCATTGCTGCTGGTGAATAAAGTTGCATGTTTATAAGTCAAAGGTTCCCATGTGCTGATAAACTAGGAAAGGAATTTTATTTAATTATTCTTTGGATTTAAGGATCTCTCCCCCCCCCATAACACAGCTGGGAATCTGTTTAGTAGCTGCATTTCCAGTTCTAAAATCTGTGTGCCACTGGTCAAGTGTGGTGCTGCATGGAGTGAGAATTAGGCATGTACTGGTTTAAGGCAGGGGTCAGCAAACTTTTTCAGCAGGGGGCCAGTCCACTGTCCCTCAGACCTTGTGGGAGGCCAGACTATATTTTGGAGAGAAAAAAAGAAGCAATTCCTATGCCCCACAAATAACCCAGAGATGCATTTTAAATAAAAGCACACACTCTACTCATGTAAAAACATGCTGGTTCCCGGACCGTCATCGGGACGGATTTAGAAGGTGATTGGGCCGGATCCAGCCCCTGGGGCTTAGTTTGCCTAACCATGGGTTAAGGAGACATTTGTTGAATTGAATGCATCACCTTGCCAACAAAGGTCCGTATAGTTAAAGCTATGGTTTTCCCAGTAGTGATGTATGGAAGTGAGAGCTGGACCATAAAGAAGGTTGATTGCCGAAGAATTGATGCTTTTGAATTATGGTGCTGGAGGAGACTCTTGAGAGTCCCATGGACTGCAAGGAGATCAAACCTCTCCATTCTGAAGGAAATCAGCCCTGAGTGCTCACTGGAAGGACA